GCCCACCACCCTCTGCACAACACCTTCATCAGGCAGAGGAGTGTGTTCAGTGGCAGACTGCTGTCTCAATCCTGCTCTAAAAACAGACTTAAGAACTCTTTCGTCCCCCTGGCCATCAGACTGTACAACAGCTCTCAGTGATGGCAGGAGGCACAATGGACTAATCTCTCTGCACAACTTCCTGGACTCTGTGTCATTGCCATGTCTGACTACCTCTGCTACATGCTGTGACTGTGACATTCATTCATTCATTTTATTCAATTTAATTGCACACAGTCCTTTATCCCAATTTCTCCTTATCTTCTATGGTCACTTTATATTTTTTTTATATAGTTTAGTTGTATAAAAAGTTTTTATTTCTATAGTTACCTTGTAGTTTTTGTATAGACAATTAGCAGTGGTTAACTTAACACAGTTCTATATTTATTTTCTATGCACATTTTCTGCAAATATTTAATATTCCTGCACATGTTTAATTCCTCTGTATATATTGAAATCCATGCAAATGTTTAATTTCTCTGTAAAAGTTTCATTTTGCTTCAACTGTTTAATTTAATTTAATTTCGTTAATTCCTCTGTACACATTTAAAATTTACAGTCATCTCAGGCTAATTTCTACATATGGTTACTGTGTTATAAGTTAACACAGTAAGCATAGGTCAAGTCTAATGTATGTTCAATGTATGTTACTGCCACTGGATGCTTGACTTTCCTTCGGGATCAATAAAGTATCTAACTATCTATCTAAAGATTACTTACATTTCCAAATGCCAGCAAGATGGAGTCAAAGTACAGCAGCACACCAAAGAGCAGGAAAAATAAACCAAACCCCACGAGACCAATCCCAATTTCTGGAAGATACAGTAAAGATTTATTAATGAGGTGAGAAAATACCAACAACAAAATGTAAATATAAAACAGTTTACAATTCCAATTTTAACCCTGGGTAGATGTTAAAGAGTTATCAGTCCTCAGTGTAAATTTGTTTCTATAAGCTGCCCTCTTCAGCATTTCTCCAATAAACACATCACATAAGTACAGTAAAATGTATGCGAAGGCAGAACTGTGACTTAATAAGGCAGACATTGTTCTATAAGTTTAATATTTGTTCTCATTTGTTATGATGAAACATGTCACAAAGAGACCAAAAATGAATACTGTATACAATCATTATTTTAGTAGTTTCTAGCTTTCCTAAACTTTCTGCAATTTTTATGTTCCAGTTACATAGGCTCACCTAAGAAATGATCACACCCCTTAAAAAAACCAAAACAACTTTCTTGTACGGGAGGAAAGTTATCAGCAGCTTCCTGGTGTATTTCATTTATATTGTTTCTTAGCAATCCAGAGTCTAGATATTGAGAAAATTATGACCATTCATCATTCACTATACTCCACAGTTGTGTTAAAGAAGCAATTTATTAATTCATGGAAAGTCGCTGTTTTTCCTTCAAGGCTACCCCCAGGAAAAAATAATATATATATCTATACCTATATAGATGATAAGAAACTGTGGGAACACTTACTTTGGAACTCTGAGATGACCACCATGGTAATTCCTTATGCTCCCCCTCCTTTCTAACTTGCAGAATTTGTATCGGTGTGACTGTCTAGAAGTGAATATTTCCTATTCGCAACCTTTGTACATTGACGTTTTTCGTGGAGGAGGTAAACATTAACCAGACCAAGCATACTTTGAGCCCCTGTATTGAACAATGGAGATTATTAGTTAAAGGGTCAATTACCTGAGTGACGTCATTCAAAGATAAGATAAGTCTTTAAAAGTTCTGACTCCTGGGTAATTCTTTTCTGGGGAGAAAAGAATGACCATGACAAAAAGTGCCAAAATGCTTCGCTATCAATAGAAGATTGAATAAGACCAAGTGTGCAAATATAGCTATCACCTGTTTAAATGAGTAATTGCAGCTGGAACAAAACTATTCCTAGAGTTTTGTTTTACCCCTTAGGACTATAACTCGTTAACTCAACCGAAAACTGGGGCACACAAGCATAAGTGATCCTCATGACTAGGGTGACCATATTTTCATTTGGGAAAACCAGGACACCTTGTCGGGGGGGGGTTATTGTCAATAACAATAACTCCAATAACAAATGATAATTTTATTCAAAATGTATTTATTCAAAATGCTTGAGTCAACAATTCCTGTAATGAATGAACAGCACAATGAAAGAAATACCCTCGCCTCGGACAGCTGTTTTGTGCTTCTCGGTGTCCAGGTGGATTTTCAGATCTCTTGCACCTCCATTGGACACCGAGACATATGTGCCTGCTTTGCACACTGTGCACAAGGCTTCCCATTTGTCTCAACCTGGTCTGAAAGCCGGGAAACTCTTTTGTAATTCGTCGGTAAACGAGCACTTGCGCTTCGGCATGTTGCTTGCGTATGACTGACAGTCACGTTGTCTACGTTCTGATTAATAGGGCTGACAGCGTAGGGGCGGGGATTAGGCTACGTCACACGCAGCGCCGTGGGCAGTGCCCTAGTGCATGTACATGTAATTGTCCAAAGAAGGTAATTTTAAAAACCAGGACATTTCCTCACTTTCTAAAAATAACCCGGGACACCCGGGACAGGACGTGAAATAAGGACATGTCCCGGGAAATACGGACGTATGGTCACCCTACTCATGACTATACAACTAAAATGTGATCAATATATCATTCACCCTTCCAAGCTGAAAAACAACAACAATTCTAACCACTTTGTGTAAGAATCAACAACTATCATGAACATGTTGTTCAGGAAGGGTCCTGCAAGATCTATATCCAGTCTCTTCCAGGACTCACCCGGAAACTTTCAGGGGTGTAACGAAACCTGCTGCAGCATTTTTTGTTCCAGCTGGCAGGTCTCACACTCCTTGCAGATCTGCTTCACGTCTGAGTCTAGGTTTGGCCACCATACATATTTTCGTGCTAAGGATTTCGTTTTTCACTCTGCCTTTTTGACCACAGTGGATCTCTGCTCTTCTCATTTTTGAGGGTACAATGACTGGTAAACCATAGGACACGATCTCGCTCAGTGGACAGCTGGTTTCTCTTGTTGAGAAAAACCTTTAAATTTGCCTCTACCTGCGTGGGCCAACCTTCCATGACAAACTACTTTGTACGTGTTGTTTTTGCGACTTGTGCTCCTTGTTGATGCTCTGCCAGCAGTGTGTAAGCATTCCCAGGGTTGCTAACAGCTCTTCTAAGTGTGGCAAGGGGTAGATGTCTGTTTCCACTGCCTGATTTGCTGATACTTCGTAATCTTCACATAGGCGGCGTGAGTTGTCCCTCTTCTCCACTGGGACTATGGGTGCTGCCCATTCACTGTGCTTATCACTCCCGTCAAAAGGACCACACAGCTCTTGGTTTTCACAGATGCTTTATTCGAACACCACCGTCGAACTAAGAAAACACACAACACACCATTAACATGTTTCACATATACATAAGCATAACACAGTAAGAAAATTAAATTTAGTACCTCGCTGGCTGCACCCTGAGGAAATGAGTTCAGTCCACCATGAGGTAAAACATTTCTTTTTTCTTCTTCGTCTTTCTTGCGTCTTTCTTGCGTCTTTCTTGTGTCTTTCTTGTTATAAGTGTTTCAACAAATACTTCCGTGGACTGAAGTGCCACATTAAACAAGTCCGTTATTAAACAAAGAAAATAAATAGTTCCCTTTTAGGCTCATGTATTATAAGTAAAATAAAGATGTTTGCCAGATTTCTCTCTGCTGAAGATTAAGGAGATATTCCTTCCTCCACCTAACCCAGAAGTCATTTGACAGAAGCTGCACCTGTCGCCACCTTTTACGCAAATACAGGTCCTGCTTCACAAACTGACCAGGAGGGGGAGATCATACAGAAACGTTTGAAGTGAAGCAGTGTCAAGTCTTTTTGCAGACTTATCCAGGATTGCAGTGAGAACACTTCTGATTGTCTTTATTTGTCTTTCCCACACACCTCCCATATGACTCGATGATGGGGTATTCATTATAAACTCACATCCATATTTCTTTATTTGTTCATGGTCCAGATCCTTCATTGCTTTCATGAACTCTCTTTTTGCACCTACAAAGTTGGTACCTTGATCACATCTCAGCTGTCTCACATTCCCATGGATTGCAAAGTGTTACAACAAATACTTCCGTGGACTGAATTGCCACATTAAACAAGTCCGTTATTAAACAAAGAAAATAAATAGTTCCCTTTTAGGCTCATGTATTATAAGGAAAATAAATATGCATAAAATAAAGGCTTTAAATTAAATATTATACAAACATAAAATTACAGCATACAGTAAATAATAATTACGGCAGTTAAAACCTGGGGAACACTGACTTTAAGTCAGCATGATGTAAGTATAAGTCCAAAGTATCCTATAAGAAAGGATATGAATTCTGGTGGCTGCTCACTGCTTTGTGCAGCTCGCCCAGGGCTATGTCAGCATTCGCATCGGGTGGTATGTACACAGCCGTTACCATGATGACGGTAAACTCACGGGGTAGATAGAAGCATCTGCATTTTACAATCAAATATTTCAAGTTCGGGGAACAATGGCTGTCTACAGTGTAAGCATTTTTGCACCCGCTGTCGTTGATGTACATCAGAATCAGAAGTACTTTATTAATCCCCGTAGGGAAATTAAAAAAGTTCAGTTTATTGTGGTTGAACCATGGGCCGGAGCTGCTGCAGGACGAGCCTCTCGAGGGTCTTCATGATGTGTGACGTCAGTGCCATGGGTCTGTAGTCCTCAGGGTCGCTGGATCGTGGCTTCTTTGGCACAGGGACAAGGCAAGACGCTTTCCACAGCACTGGAACCCTCTGGAGACTCAGGCTCATGTTGAAGATGTGCT